CTCGTGATCCACCCGCCTCGGCCTCCCACAGTGCTGGGATTACAGGCTTGAGCCACCGTCCAACTTTTATTTTTAAGATTTTTTTTTTTTTTTTTAGTAGACTTAACATTGAAACACACCAACGGGAACTTATTATGTATAGACCCTAGTATAAATGACTAGGTTTTTCACTTTTAAAACCATGTTTTCATAAAAGCATAGTTTCTGTGACTGAAGTTGCTTAACTCTTGCAAGGGGAGTATAGTTAACAGACCATTATCATTAGGGTTCTATTACATTGAGACAAGCTGAAATTGGATAGGAAGTGTAAAGTATGGAAGACTCATGTTCTTGATTTTGTCAATACATGGATGTCTTGGAACATAAATTATGAATGTGTCTTGTTTTTCAGCTTGCAGTTTGACCCAGCACCTCGTAGAGGCGAGCCACATGTTACTCGTCGTACCCCAGACTACTTCCTGTAATGAAATTTTAAACTTGTACAGTATTGCCATGAACCATATATTGACCTAATGGAAATGGGAAGAGCAACAGTAACTCCAAAGTGTCAGAAAATAGTTAACATTCAAAAAACTTGTTTTCACACGGACCAAAAGATGTGCCATATAAATATACAAAGCCTCTTGTCATCAACAGCCGTGACCACTTTAGAATGAACCAGTTCATTGCATGCTGAAGCGACATTGTTGGTCAAGAAACCAGTTTCTGGCATAGCGCTATTTGTAGTTACTTTTGCTTTCTCTGAGAGACTGCAGATAATAAGATGTAAACATTAACACCTCGTGAATACAATTTAACTTCCATTTAGCTATAGCTTTACTCAGCATGACTGTAGATAAGGATAGCAGCAAACAATCATTGGAGCTTAATGAACATTTTTAAAAATAAGTACCAAGGCCTCCCCTCTACTTGTGAGTTTTGAAATTGTTTTTTTATTTTCAGGGATACCATTTAATTTAATTATATGATTTGTCTGCACTCAGTTTATTCCTTACTCAAATCTCAGCCCTATGTTGTTCTTTGTTACTGTCAGAACCTGGTGAGTTGTTTTGAACAGAACTGTTTTTTCCCCTTCCTGTAAGACGATGTGACTGCACAAGAGCACTGCAGTGTTTTTCATAATAAACTTGTGAACTAAGAACTGAGAAGGTCAAATTTTAATTGTATCAATGGGCAAGACTGGTGCTGTTTATTAAAAAATTAAAACAATTGAGTAAATTTTAGAATTTGTAGACTTGTAGGTAAAATAAAAATCAAGGGCACTACATAACCTCTCTGGTAACTCCTTGACATTCTTCAGATTAACTCCAGGATTTATTTGTATTTCACATATTACAATTTGTCACATTGTTGGTGTGCACTTTGTGGGTTCTTCATGCATATTAACTTGTTTGTAAGACAGAAAATCTGTGCTGCTTCAGTAAGACTTCATTGTAAAACCATATAACTTGAGATTTGAGTCTTTGGGTTTTGTTTTAATAAAACGGCATGTTTTCAGGTAGAGCTTAACAAACTAAATGATGTGTTTACTTAGTGCAGTTTCTGGTTATGAATATTATATTGCTATGTATATTATATGGACTCTTCAAAATGATTGACAGATTGGCAAATTCCTAACAAATCTTTGTACATTGTTAAGTCATATGTTCTTAGAGTTAAATCTGTCTCAGATAAGAAAGCTGTTAAAGCATCAGTCTGTGTCAAGTTCTTTGAGTGATACTAGTGAAACAAAATGGAAACTATTGTTGGGTCATGGTTTAGTCTTATGTACATTCACCCAAAGACAAAAATGGTACTTGAAGTGGCAGTGTTCAGCATTTAATGAGTTTTTCCCCCTTTTGTCCTTTGAAGAGGATTAGATGTTAAAAACAGTTCTGTGGGAACTAATACTTGATATTTTAACCTACCAGAGTAAACAAGAACACTTAATCATACTTGTGAGTATAGTAAATAAAAATTTTCTTCCTTTGTGCTGTGTTGAATCTGGAACCAAAAGGGAAGTTATAGCATATCCACTTTCTAAGATGCTTAAGGAACACATACATATTTAATGTCTTTTCTGACCTAATTGTTAGTATTTTTGGTTGCTTGTGGAGTTAATTTTCCAAAGCAAAAGGCCATTAAGTTTTCTACATTTCATTTCATTCTTTTCTTTCACAAGAAATACATTCTCTGTGTGTGTGTCTTTTTGTTGCTCTGTCACTTTATGCCCTTTCTCTTCAACTGAACAAATAGCCTATCTGTGTGCAGTGGTTTTAATCAATGCCTAAGTAATCTAGACACCAAGCAGCTATTTTTCAGGTCCTGTGATACCAGAATTGACTAAGGAATACATGTATTGTAATTGACATGTGGTGTTAACGGCCAGGCACAAATTCTCTTGAATTTTGTGGTTAGCATAATGGGGCTTGTGACAAGAGTAGCTTGGTCTTAGAATAGGGTTTAAAGTAATTGTTTAATTATAGAGACTGACTGGGCTCTGGCCATCTAAACTAGAAAGTGTTAGTACCCTACCTTCTTTTGAAATGGCTGTGGTAAGGAAAATGGTAAGTATGGTAATTTTCTTTAAAATATATATGGTTGGTTGGGAATCACTATGTTGGGTATTGTTGATTTCTCAGTAGCATTAGAATAGGATTTTCATTAATAAACTTTTACAGAGCTTTATTCTAAGAAACAGACCGGGTGCTGTGGCTCTTACCTGTAATAGCATTTTGAGAGGCCGGTGCAGGCCGAGCTCTTGCGGTTAAGAGTTCAAGACCAGCCTGGCCAACATGGCAAAACCCCATCTCTACCAAAAAAAAATACAAAAATTAGTGGGGCGTGGTGGCATAGCACCTGTAGTCCCAGCTACTCAGAAAGCGAAGGTGAAAGGATCACGTGAGCCCAGGAGGCGAGGTTGCGGTGGGCCAAGATTGTGGTACTATATTCCAGCCTAGGTGACAGAGCCAGACCTTGTCTCAAAAAGGGATTCTTAGTCTGTATAGGTTTTTTGGTTGTGTTTTTTGTTGTTTAAGACGGAGTCTCACACTGTCACCAGGATGGAGTGCAGTGTGCAATCTCGGCTCACTGCAAACTCAGACTCCCTGGTTCAAGCTATTCTGCCTTATCCTCCTGAGTAGCTGGGATTACAGGCACATGCTGCCACACCCAGCTAATTTTTATATTTTTAGTAGAGATGGGGTTTCACCATGTTGGCCAGGATGGTCTCGGTCTCCTGATCTCATGATCTGCCCACCCTAGCATTCCAAAGTGCTGGGATTACAGGCATGAGCCACCATGCCTGGCTTGTAATAGGCATTTTTAAAATTTGTCAATTATTAATTTCAAGAAGGACTTAGCTCAGGAATAGGATAGTTATTTCTGAGGTTCTCGGCTTTGTTGCCTGCAGAGATTCTGATTTAAATTGCTGGAGGAGGGCCCAGGCACAGGTATTTTTAAGTTTCCCAAGTGATTCTAATTTATATCTAGGGTTAAAAACTCAGCTGGGCGCAGTGGCTCACTCCTATAATCCCAGCACCTTGGGAGGCTGAGGTGGACAGATAACCTGAGGTCAGGAGTTCGAGACCAGCCTGGCCAACATGGTGAGAAATCCTGTTTGTACTAAAAATGCAAAATTAGCTGGGCATGGTGGCAGGCGCCTGTAATCCCAGCTACTCGGGAGGCTGAGACAGGAGAGTCACGTGAACCCTCGAGGTGGAAGTTGGCAGTGAGCCGAGATCGTGCCATTGCACTGCAGCCTGGGCAAAAAGCGAAACCCCACATCAAAAAGCAAAAACACCTCACTGCTGTCTTCTAGCTACAAACAAGGAAATTGAGATACGTGGTGGTGGGTGGTGGTTCATGGATGTTGGTAAGGAATTAAAATGTGCCATGTGATTCGGTGACTTAACTGTTGAGTATAAATGTATGGTTAATGTGTTCTTAGAAATAGGCATATAGTTCAGTAACAGTAAGGCTTGTTTGTTTTGAAATAGGTTTTGGCTCGTGAGCTAAAGCGGTTTTTCATTAAAGCCTTAATCTGCTGTCACCTTTTTTTTTGAGGTGGAGTCTGGCTCTCTTGCCCAGGCTGGATTACAATGGCCAATCTCGGCTCACTTTAACCTCCGTCTCCTGGGTTCAAGCTGTTCTCCTGTATCAGCCTCCTGAGCAGCTGGGATTACAGGCGTGTGCCGCCACACCCAGCTAATGTTTTCTATTTTTAGTAGAGATGGAATTTCACCGTATTAACCAGGATGGTCTTCATCTCCTGACCTTGTGATCCACCTGCCTCAGCTTCCCAAAATGCTGGGATCACAGGCATGAGCCACCTTGCCCAGCTGTCCTTACACATTCTTTTGACGTATTTCTAGTCTTCATAAACTTTTTTAAATTTAGATTTTTTTTGCCGTCACAATTATGCATCTGTTTTAGCGAATAGCCCTATGAAGGTTGTAGATGTATTATTTTGGGTGTTCCTGGTGATTTTTTTTTTTATCCAATTATAGTTTAAGTTAAATTTTAGGAATATAAGTATATTTTATTTCTATTTTTTATTATATAAAATTGCACAAGTACTATTGTCTAGACAAAAATGGGATGTTGCTAACACAGCATTGTTGGCTTGTAGGCAGTGCTGTCCTGTAAATAGATTGAAATGTATTTTTACCAGCTGGTATATAAATCTGAGGGGAGAAAAATGTGGATTGTGTTTGAATTGTTTAAAAGTTGAACCTACAAAGCGATAAGTGGCAACCACGTAAGTGAAATACAGGCAACAGACCCCAGTTTGATGTCATGCCTGGACCAGAATTATTATTTTCCAAGAGTGAAAGAGGAAATACAGCTAATGAGTGAATTCTGGAAAAGGTCATATACTTTTTTAAGGAAAAGTACAAACCCTCATGTCTGAGGTTGAATTTAATTACAGCCAGCCTTCCGTTCCATATTCAAGGGTTCCACATCTAAGGATTCAGCCAATCGTGGACTGAAAATAGTTTGGGGGAAAAGGAACCAATAAAAACCAATACAGTGGCCAGGTGTGGTGGTTCACACCTGAAATCCCAGCACTGGAAGGCTGAGGCGGGCGGATCACTTGACGTCAGGAGTGTGAGACCAGTCTGGCCAACATAGTGAAACCATGTCTCTACTAAAAATGCAAAAATTAGCCAGGTGTCACGCACGCGTATAATCCCAGCTACTCGGGAGGCTGAGGCAGGAGAATAGCTTGAACCTGGGAGGTGGAGGTGGCAGTGAGCCAAGATTGAGCCACTACACTCCAGCCTGGGCAACAGAGCAAGACTTCACCTTATTTAAAAAAAAAAACAAAAAAACAAAAAAAAAACCACTAATACAGTGTAACAACTATTTACATGGCAATGGCAATTTCATTGTTTTAGGTATTATGAGTAATCCATAAAGTACAGCCAGCCTTAAGCATCCACGGGGTTGGCATCAACGGATTCAACTAACCTTGGATTTAAAATGCAGTGTTCTCCCCCCTGCCCCGCGAGACAGACTCTGTCACCCAGGTTGGAGTGCACTGATGCAATCTCTTGAACCTCTGCCTCCTAAGTAGCTGAGATTACAGGTGTGTGTGACTACGCCCAGCTAATTTTGTATATTTGGTAGAGATGGGGTTTCACCATGTTGGCCAGGCTGGTCTGAAACTCCCAACCTCAGGTATCCACCTGCCTCTGCCTCCCAAAGGCTGGGATTACAGGCACGAGCCACCATGCCCGGCCAAAAATGCAGTGTTCTTGAATGCAGAACCCACTAATAAAGGGGACTGACTTCCGGACTTGAATATCCACGTGAGGTGTCCTGGATCCAGTCTCCCAAGAATAGTGAGGGATGACTGGTTTGTATCCTCAACAGGCTTGGGAGAAGTAGCTGGGACTTTGTTTACTCTGCCTACAATGCTGCTAACACAGCAAACCACTGCTCCTGGCTAATTTTACTACTTGGGTCCCTTGGGAATCTATCTTGAGATAGCCTCAGTCATGGTGTACAATGTCCTCAATCATTCACTGTTGTCCCTGGGAAGGACTTTAATGTGTTCTTCCCACTGGACTCAGTGGCTCACGCCTGTAATCCCAACACTTTCGGAGGCCGAGGCAGGTGGATCACTTGAGGTCAGGAGTTTAAGATGAGCCTGACCAACATGGTGAAACCCTGTCCCCACTAAAAATACAAAAATTGGCTGAGTGTGATGACACTTAACTGTAATACCAGCTAGTCAGGAAGCTGAGGCAAGAGAATCGCTTGAACCTGGAAGGCAGAGGTTGCAGTGAGTCAAGATTAGACCACTGCACTCCAGCCTAGGTGACAGAGCGAGACTGTCTCAAAAAATATGTGTGTGTGTGTGTGTGTGTGCGTGCTTCCAACCAATAAAAATTTTAGCTGTTCTTTCTTGGTACGGTGGTAGGCTGTAGCCACCAGCAAGTGAAATATCTGGTGGTAAAGGCCAGAATTGTGGTGATAGGAAAGGAAGTTAAGAGTGTTTCTTGCTCCGTAAAACACTAGGAAGATCACAGTGAAGGCTGTCATTAAAGCTATGAGAAATGCCCAAAGCTGTTGAGTACCTCTACCTCAAGGCTTAGCATAACTTCTGATCTGCAAGGAGACTTATCATCAGGGTTTTTGCAGTTCTAGAGCTACATTGGAACCTGGGGATAGGAGCAGGAGCTAGTAGTAGGTTTGGCAGGCCTGGTCAAGTGACAGCTTTAAGGTCAGGTATGTCCAAATGTGTCAGGAAGTAGGTTGCATGG